TTTCACTCCTTGCCCGACAGCTTGTTAAATCTGCACCAGATTCTAAATAAACACCCAAACCAGCTACGCTAAATCATCCTGTGCGTCTTCCCAAGCTTTAGGATTTGTCAGCTTCCGGCTTCTTTTCTCACAGAAGCAGATCAGCTGGGAGCCAGCATCGCTGCCTGGGGTATGAGAACGTATTTGCTGGGGTAGCGGCTGCTGGAGGGAAAAACCTGCCTCATTCAAAGCGGGAGCTCTTCTGCAAATCCCGGCTGGTTTTTCTCTCTCCTCAAACCACAGTTACAAACATCACACTCAGTACATTTTAAATGGAAAGCGGGTGCTCCTGCATACTAATTCCTTCAGGCTCTGATGTCCTTTTTTCAGAAAACGATGTTCACAAGAAAAAATAAAAGAAGAAAGCAAATACAGAACAGGTTGTTTCCCCTGCCATGAACTTGGTCCACATTGAGGTGAACGGGCACCACTACTTTGTAATTATTAAGGTATTACAGGCCAATGAATAGCTTCAAACTTCACAAGCAGACTAGAGACCAGAGATACAAGGTCTTGATAACGAGCATCATAACTTTAAGCTGACCCCTCCAGCAGTCAGCTCCCCTTCAGCCTTGTGATAACGCAACCAGGAAAGCCGTATACTTTGCTCAGCCTTTCCATCCACCTTTTGTGCTGAAGGGCAGGAGGCAGCTGAGAGGCAGAGAGATGGAGTGCAGTGAAGATGATGATAAATACGGGAGCAGAAAGCAAGCTCTGCAGGCACGCTTGCTCCAAGGTCATTGCCAGCTTCAGCTGAAGGAGAAAATGAACTGCCACCAGAGGAAACGCCTGCTCCTCTGCCAAGCTGCCACCTTGGGCTTTATGCTGCAGAAACGATCAATAGCAGCTGGCAGCCTTTGGTTCTGTGCATCCAAGAACATCTAAAGACATTTGTGACCAAAGATCAGTCGGCTACGGAAAGCACCGAATAACTTCTGCGGCTGCTAAAAATACATCCAATTATTGCTCGTGTGCCCCAGGAGCTACACACCCCGCACTACCCTGTAAGGGAAATGCAGACAAGCCAGACTGACAGGAGAGAGCAGGCCACAGCAGGGTCCAGGCAATTAAAGGTAAAAAGGAAATCCAAACAAATCAAAGGACGCAGCAGATCACCCTGATAAAGCCTTTACAAATGGGCACTTTGGTGAGCTATAGCTGTAGCTCAGTGGGCTAAAAGAGGTACTCATTCCTGTGGACATCAGTTGAAAGTCTGCATTATTACAGGGAATATAAATGTGGTGAGATCATTCTGTTCTGTTGTTGACACACATTAAGAAGAAAAAAAAAATAGCAGCAGAGAGCCTAGCAGGACAGGGAGGTGCTGGCTGGGGAGAGACCAAGGAAGGAACAGACTGCAGTGAGCTGAACGATGCTGTTCAAGATGCAGACGTATCCAGAGCACTTGCCCACAATATTCTGGGCTTATGCCAGTGCAGTTAGCTCCTTCCCACACAACGGTTTTGTGGCTTTTCAGGCTTTTTCTTTTTCCCCAAGAGAAGAAAATTCAAATAAGCTACAAGGGGATTCCAGACAGCGGTGTCAAAAGGGGATGAATTATCTTAGAAAATAGGAGTGCATTAGGAAACCTCCAACCATTAGGACTTGCGGGCACCCCAGCATTCCCAGAACCAGGTCAGCCCTCGCCTTCCCGCTCACTGAACTCCTCATGGCCCTCTTCTCTCCTCCTGGAGCCCCACAGAAGCAGAGATTTGGGCACCAACATCCATGTGGCCGATGGCCAGCAGAGCACAGGGCGCCAAGCACACTGACCACCACCGAGAGCCAAGTGCCCGTCAAGATCCCCAAGGAATGGAAATCTTTCTGGAAATGGAGTCTTGTCAGCCACTTCCAAAGGAAAGAAGGGGTTAAAGCAGTGACTGAAAGGGCAGTGGTATTTACATAAGAATGACCACGAGCACAAGTCCAGGCTGTATCAATATTAGCGATGACTAATTCAATCTGTCAGTGGGAAGAATTACGGGAGCTCTGGAATACAGGGGAGCTGCTGCAAAGCCTTCATTTCACAGCCGATACTGAACAGAAAAATAAACCGCAATAGCAACAACCACCCCAAAGTACAGCCAGCAAGCATGAGCACCCCCAGTGCTGTGTAACCCCAAGATTCCTAAATTCCTCCATTGCTTTAGTAGGAACTGAATGAACCCCACAAAGGTGCTGCTCAGGGCACATGTGCCAGCAGGTTTAGCAGCAGCTCCAAAAACCCAGTGCTCCCCTTACCTCATCCCTTTTCCCTTCCCCCCAGTTTTTTCTGGTCAAACATGAAGCCAAATTGTCGTTGGAAGGATGCAACACCCTGCTTCTATCTGAAAGCAAAGCTTTCACATGCACTCAGATATTGACTTGCTTTAAGTAAGCTATTTTCACATGCTTTCCTCTGACTCCCAAGACTCCACACTGAAATGATATATTAGAATTCAGTTCCCTTAATGCTATATGGTCAGAAAAAATATTGATGTGAGAACAGCACGGAAGTCCAAAACCAGTTGACCTCACTGCTTTTTAAAATTATCTTTTCCAATTCGTTTGTAAATCACACTATTACAGATCTGGGTTATCTCCAGTTCATTGCTGAAACATATCATCAACTGGCACTTTTCTCTTAGCTAAGTGTTAAGCACAAGCAACACTTTGCAGGTTCAAGAAGTTATGAAGAGAACCTCAGTAAGTTAATTATACACACACATTCCAGATAATAAAATTACTTATAAACACTTGTATACACATTTTATGCAGTTCAGGAAAAAAGATGCAGAGATTGGAAAACAACTGAAATCGGCAAATGCACCTTTTGAACTGGGCGGATTCCTCCGCTTTTTTCAGGAAGAAAAGTACATGGTAAAAAAACCCCAAACATTTCTGTTCTGCTGGTTACCATTCAGATGCTCATCTTCTCCTGCATTGGTAACACAGCAGCATTAACAGTGCAGTCAAAAATGTATTTGGTTGCCAAGCTGTATTTGGGCTAGATCCTGCCTTGTGATACCAAGCCCCCGTAGTGCAAAGCAGGTATCATGCCAGCTTACCTAGGCCATGGAGGACAGCCCTCCTGCACAGGATACCCACCAGTCTCACTGGAAAAACGCTGCTCAGACAGGTAAGTGCTGAGAACATATAAAACCATGGCCTGCAGGACAACAGCCTCACCTGTACCAGAAGTCCTTCTACACGCAGCTTATTCTGCCTGCCTCCTGGGCACAGACAAAGGCTGTGTGTGTGACAAGTGATAACCTGTGCGTGTCACACCACCGACCCGCAGGGTCTGGCCAGCCTGGAGATGATGCAAACTAGCACCAAGGCTCAATTTTGGTCAAACAGCTGGAAAATTTGCACTAGTTAGATTTGCACAGCACCATTGAAGGGAAAGA